GATCCCAACTAGGCTGCTTAAAGAAGTTGTTCCCTTAATTGGCACTTCTTTACTGGATATGATTAATCTTTCTTTATTATCAGGATATGTACCACAGTCCTTTAAAGTAGCTGTAATTAAACCCCTTCTTAAAAAGTCTACCAACTATAGACCGATTTCTAACCTCCCGTTCCTCTCTAAGATTCTGGAGAAAGTAGTCGCCAAAGAGTTGTGTGACTTTCTACATAACAATAGTTTATTTGAGGATTTTCAGTCAGGATTTAGAGTTCATCATAGCACAGAGACAGCTCTGGTTAAAGTTAATAATGACCTTCTGACTGCTTCTGACAATGGACTTGTCTCTGTACTTGTATTATTAGATCTTAGTGCTGCATTTGACACCATTGACCATGATATTCTTTTACAGAGACTTGAGCATCAAATTGGCATTAAAGGAACTGCCCTAACCTGGTTTAAGTCATACTTATCAGATCGTTCTCAGTTTGTACATGTTAACGATGAATCCTCCATAAATACTAAAGTTAGTCATGGAGTTCCACAAGGTTCTGTACTTGGACCAATACTATTTACTTTATATATGCTTCCTTTAGGCAACATTATTAGGAATCACTCCATTAACTTTCACTGTTATGCAGATGATACGCAGTTATATCTATCAATCAAACCCAATGAAATTAATCAATTATCTAAATTACAAACATGTCTTAAGGACATAAAATCCTGGATGACCTGCAATTTTCTGATGTTAAACTCAGAAAAAAACCGAAATTCTTGTTCTTGGCCCCAAAAACCTTAGAGACACATTGTCTAAAGATATAGTCACTCTAGATGGCATTAACTTGGCCTCTAGCACCACTGTCAGGAATCTTGGAGTTATCTTTGATCAGGATTTGTCATTTAACTCCCACATAAAGCAGACCTCTAGGACTGCCTTCTTTCATTTACGTTATATTAGAAAAATTAGACACATCCTATCACAGACAGATGCAGAAAAACTAATCCATGCATTTGTTACTTCAAGGCTGGATTACTGCAACTCTTTATTATCAGGTTGCCCCAATAAGTCCATTAAAACGCTCCAATTAATTCAGAACGCTGCAGCACGAGTACTGACAGGAACTAGAAAAAGAGATCACATCTCTCCTGTACTAGCTACTCTGCATTGGCTCCCTATAAAATGTAGAATTGAATTTAAAATACTCCTCCTCACCTATAAAGCTCTTCATGGTCAGGCCCCTTCATATCTTAAAGAGCTCATAGTACCCTATTACCCCACTAGAACACTACGTTCTCTGAATGCTGGGCTACTTGTGGTTCCTATAGTCTCTAAAAGTAGAACAGGAGCCAGAGCCTTCAGTTACCAAGCTCCTCTCCTGTGGAACCAGCTTCCAGTTGTGGTTCGGGAGGCAGACACCCTCACCACATTCAAGAGTAGGCTTAAGACATTCCTCTTTGATAAAGCTTATAGTTAGGGCTGGATCAGGTGAGTCCTGAACCATCCCTTAGTTATGCTGCTATAGGCCTAGACTATCGGGGGATTTCCCATGGTGCACTGAGCTACTCTCTTCCTCTCTCTTTCTGCACTCATTCATGTCCCTTTAATGCATGTTACTAACTCCACTTCTTCCCCGGAGTTCTTGTGCTTTCTCGTCTCGCAGGTTCTCATGGATCCTGGTGGAGCCTCCTGCCATGGTCCTGCTTGACTGCCATTGCCAATACTGTTGTTGCTGTGCACCTGTCTGTCTGTCTGTCGCTCTCTCTCTCTCTCTCTCTCTCTCTCTCTCTCTCTCTCTCACCCCAACTGGTCGAGACAGACGACCACCCACCTAGAGCCGGAGGATCTGTCCTAGGTTTCTGCCTTTTAACAGGCAGTTTTTCCTTGCCCTTGTCGCCAAGGTCTTGCTCATGGTGGTACTGTTGGGTCTCTGTAATTAATGTTAAAGAGTTCGGTCTAGACCTGCTCTATTTGAAAAGTGTCCTGAGATAACTTCTGTTATGAATTGGCGCTATACAAATAAAATTGAATTGAATTGAATTGAATTTGCTTGGTTGTGTTTTTCTGTCATTCTGAAAAATCTGCACATCAAAGTTATGTTTCTTTTTCTGTTATTTGTGTATTGTACGCAAAGTTTGCATTTAGATAGTAATGTTATTATTGATTTTATATGTTATTGTTTAATAGAAGATGTCTTTACTGATCCGTAGTCCTGGACGTCATTCATCGTGATTCTGGGGGACAGCATGGTCCTTCTTGCCTAGGGCCCCCAGGGGGGGCTAGAAACGCCCCTGTATCTCCAACGGGTGGGAGGAGCTAGAGTTTGCACCAATCGTTGCTGTCTGACGCTATGTCTATTTGCATAGAATTCCCATCAGCCCCCTGTGCTCCTCAGAATAAGAAAATACAGGACCCGAACACGGCTCTGGACGGCTCAGTTTGTGTCTAGATGGGTCACCGTAGGTACAGAACTCACGGTACAACACACAGACTCCTCATTATTGTTGTTACCGGCGGTCTGAGAGCCGTTTAGAAGCGGTTTAAGCCTTTTTAGCTGTGTCTGAGTGGAACCACGAGGCAACACTCTGCCGCCACAGACTCCCTATGAATAGCTCACAGAGACGGGGTGTAATTGTGTTACTCAGGTAGCACGTATACTAAAATTGGAACGATACAGAGAAGATTAGCATGGCCCCTGCGCGAAACTCCCCCAGCGTTCTTCTCTCTTTTGGTCGGCACCCGCGCATGCGCACTAGAGCGCAAAAGACGCGCGTTCGACGTGCGGAACGGCACTCCCGCTCGCCAGTTCGAATCCCGACGGAGGCAAACTGCGAAACGCGTGCATAGCGTCGCAATGTCTTCTCTAAATATAAAAAAATGATTAAAACATGCTTGGAACCGTTGTATAGAGTCTATAAATGATAATGAATTTGCATATTTCCAAGGCCAGACAATGCAATAATAAATGGATTTTTCATTTACAGTACGGTTTATCTCCTGTGTCTTCATTTTATTGAGAATATGTATCATCAGTGTTTATTGCTTTAAATTTGATATAGGACAAGAGAACAATGATACCAGTATAAAATGATGACAATTTATTTGAAATATGAAGTCAGATGTCCAGGATACAGGACAGTGCAGCATATCAGTGTGGAAAGGGCTTTACAAATAAAATAAAATTCTCAGTAAAAAAGGGTAAATAAATTATTTATGTATAAATTAAAGTTACATGCTGTGTATGATTTGTTTCCCCTTTTTCTTCAGTGAAATAAATATCAATTAAATATATTGTTGTTGTGTTCTGCATCTTCACAACAACAACATCAAACACAGCAGAAGTACAGAGCAAAATAGATTATTTAAACTACAATCCAATAATAATAATAATAATAATAATAATAATAATAATAAATGGTGATGCAGAACAGAGCAGTGGCACAAGGCAATCACAGCAGGCAGACACATAGTATAAGAGCTCAGCACAGATATGCATGGATACATAACACAGGGGCATTACAGTGTGAAGTACCTGTACATACAAGGCTTTTTATTTTTTTGGCAGCAACAGAGCCAGTGGCAACAGCAGATGAACCAGCACAAATGGCAGTCCGATATCTTGCGTCGCAGCTACTGGATGTAACTGATGTAACAGTGATCACATTAATGAACATACCCACATGTCCAAAATATAAAAAATAAAAAAACTTGTCAGTGCATAGAATCAGAACAGCACAGAGGCATGACAGCGTGTTATACAGGTGTGAATGGGACACACATTTTTTTTCCAACTGTGCTGTAGAAGAGTTGTGGCAGGGTGGGTGGACCGGTGTTGGTAGAAAGCCTCCACACTGCGGCAAAGTCCCGGTCCTTGTGGAGGGGAAAGTCAATGTCTTTTTAAAAAAAAACACACACACAACACTGCAAACAACTATATACACCTGCCCCAGCAAGAGTGCGAAATCAGTCCGGGGCTCGACCCTGGTCCCTCTCCTTCATCTCCCTCAGCCAGTCCTCCACATTCTTACCCGCCGCAGCAGAGCAAAAATGTTCACTGCCGTAACGGGTGTGTCCGGTCTCCCTCCGCTTTGGCTGGCCGCACTTCCTGCACTTCTGTACTTGTGGCACGCCGGCCCGGGCAGAGACACCTGTTCCTGGCGGTGCCGCTGCCCTCTGCTCGGCCTTCTTCCTCCTATATTTAAAGTTTAACTGTGCTTTAGATGCGTTAGCATATAAATCGCTATTAGCATGCTAAGCGTTGGAAATGAATGAGCATTTAGCCACTGCTGTGATGAGCTGACGATCTCTGGAAACGCTTTAAAAACGTGATGAGACAACTTGGCTCAC